ATGGTTTGGGAGTCTGAGTTTATTGGAAAATGAAATCATAAATGATGCAGAATTAATATACAGAGGCTTCTCAACTTACAAGGGGGTTTTATCCCTATAAATCAATTTTAAGTTGAAACTATTATAAATCAAAAATGCATTTAAGGGCTTGGCATGGTGGCTTGCACCTGTAATCCCAGCACTTTGGAAGGGCAAAGCAGGAAGAGTATTTGAGACCAGGAGCATGAAACAAGCCTGGACAAAATAGCAAGATCCCTGTCTACACACATATACATCCATACACACAAATTAGCTGGGCCTGTGCCTATAGTCCCAGCTATTCAGGAGGCTGAGGTGGGAGGATTGCTTGAGCCCAGAAGTTCAAGGCTACAGTGAGCTATGATCACACCACTCTAACCTGGGTGACAGAGCAAGACCTGTATCAAAGAAGAAAAAGAATACATTTAATACATCTAACCTACTGAGTAGCATAGCTTAGTCTGGCCTACCTTAAATGTGTTCAGAACACTTACATTAGCCTACAATTGGGCAAAATCATCTAAGACAAAGCCTGTTTTATAACATATTGAACATCTCATGTAATTTATTGAATACTGTACTAAAAGTGATAAGCAGAATAGATTGTATGGGTACACTAAGGGCAGTTTTTACTGAAGGCATATTGTTTTCATACCATCATAAATGCAGAAAATCCAAGTTGAACCATCACACATTGGGGACCATCTGTATGCTATACCAAAAAATAGATGAAGATAAATATTAGAAGAAAAAAAATAAGGAAAATAAATGCAGAGCCAGAATTACTTGTGCTGTGGCCCAAGTGCTCTTTTTCTGTTATGTTGAGGCCCAGCCTGAACCTCAGACAACCCACAGTATAGTAATCATGATGCAGAGAAACCATTTTGGGTGAGTGCGTTCTGTCTTCTGAACAAATTTATATGAAATAAATCTACATTTTTTTGTTTTCAGCTCAAATAAAACATTTAAGATGCTTGTAGCTTTTAAGAAATTCCCTTCTTTCACCATTTTGAGGAGAATTTAAAAAAATTTTGATTTATAAAATTTTAAATTTACAGGAAAGTGACGAGAATAGTACAAAAAACACCCACATACCCTATCTTAGTCTGCTTGGGTTGCCATCACATAATATTATAGACTAGGCATCTTAACAGAAATTTATTTTTTCACAGTTCTGGGACACTGAAAAGTCCAAGGTCAATCAGGGTTTGGTTTCTGGGAAGGGTTCTCTTCCCAGCCTTTAGGTAACTGTCTTCTCCTGTGTCTTCATGTGGCAGGGGCAATGTGGGAGAGGTAGAGGACACTGATTCCACATGTCAGAGCCTTACCCTTATGACCTTATTTGACCTAATTATATCTATGGGCTCTGTTGCCAAATGCAGACACTTTAGGAGGTAGAGCTTCAACATATGAATTGTGGGTAGACGTCATTCAGTCCACAGCATACCCTTGACTCAGATTTACGTGTTGTTAACATTTTACCCCATTTGTCCTTCCACCCCAATGCAATTTTTGTTCTACTCACTTGAGAGCAAGTTGCATACATCATAGTCCTTTACCTGTCAATCCTTTAGGGTATATTTTCCAAGAATAAGAACATGTTCTTATTGAACTGCTAGACAGGCATCAACTTCAGTAATTTTAACACAGAGATAATATTTTTATATAATCTGCCATCCATATTCCAGCTGCTTCCGTTGACCAAATAATGTCCTATGTAGTATTTTCTACTCCTCCAGTACAGAATCCACTCAAAACCTATGTTTTTAAAAATGGCACCTGGGATCTTCCATAAACAAAATTTTGAGATGATTTCTTTCCAGTTCCAAGCTCTCCACTTTTCCATCCCCATGTTCTAGTCCCTGTGTCTTCCTTTCTGCTTCTTGGAATGGCTAGAAACCCCTTTTCTCTACAGAACACCTACTTTTCTTTTTCTTTTAAAATTCAATCTATTTTTGAAGAGTTTTCTTACTGCCCTTCTGTGCCCAGATAGAACTGAACCCAGCTGGAAGCCAAGGGGACTTTCACCGTAATGCCTCCCACATCTGTACCCTAAGCATTCTTGAAATATCTTAGTTTATATTCAGAAGTGGTACATGTCTGGCCCTCCTCCTACCCATTAACCCCATGCCCTACCATGAGGCTCTAAGCTCTTTGAAAGGAAGGACCGTATTGTATTGACCTTCGAATCCTCAGAGCTTAAAGACAGGATCTGTCACATAGGAAGTGCTTTATAAATATTAATTCATCAGCAATGGAATACATCACTGTAAAGAGCAACTGAAGGGAGTTGTAAGGACTAATCCTGAAGTGTTTTAAGAACGAAAATGCCCCTCTAACCAGGGGCCTTACAGCGGTTGTAAGGGAAAGGGTAGGGTGGAATCTGGTCTCTAAAAGCTCTTTTGATTATGTGATAGACTCGCAGAGGTCCTCAAACTTTTAAAACAGGGAGCCAGTTCACTGTCCCTCAGACCGTTGGAGGGGTGGACTATAGTTTAAAAAAAGAAAGGAATTTGTTCATAGTTTTTTTTTTTAAACTATAGTCCGCCCCTCCAACGGTCTGAGGGACAGAGAACTGGCCCCCTGTTTTAAAAGTTTGAGAACCCCTGTGTGAAGTCAGTCATAACCTTTATATTTCTTAAGATTTCTCAAGCTCACACGCAGCCTTCAGAAGAAGATAATCCAGATGTATTTTTTAATTTTTAATTTTAATTTAATTTTAGACTTATAGAAAAGTAGCAAAACTAGTACAGAATTCCCAGGTTAACAAATTCATTTTCCAAGCATGGTATATCCAGTTTTACAAGAAATTGGAAAGAGCATTGTTCAATAACCGTGGAACAATGATCATAACTGGGAAATTGGTATTGGTACAGTACTATTAACTAAACTATACACCTTACTCAAATTTTGTCAACATTTTCACTAGTGTCCTTTTCTGTTCCAGGATTCCATTTATGATCCCACAGTACATTTAATTGTCATGTCTTCTTAATTTCCTCCAGTCTGGGACAGTTCCTCAGTCAGTCCTTGTCTTTTGTGATCCTGACATATTTGAGGAGGAGTAGTTGTTTATAGAATGTCCCTAGTTTGGGTTCTGTCCAATGTTTTCCCATGACTAGACTGAAGTTCTGCCTTTTGGGCAAGAACACCACAGAAGTGTTGTGCCCTTCTCAGGTGCATCACATCTAGAGTACATAAAGTCATGTCTTGTTAATGGTGATGTTGAACTTGATCACTCAGATAAGGAGGTTTCTGCTGGATTTCTCCCCGTGAAGTTATTATCCTTACCCTTAAAGTTAATAACAGCCTTAGAGATACTTTGAAACTATGCAAATGTCTTGTTTCTTCTTAAACTTTCATCTACTAATTTTTGCATCCATGAATGAAACTTGCCTGCAATAAACCTTACAGTAGTGTTTGCCTAATATTGAATTTCTTATTTTCCTCTCTCCTTCTACACTTATTGACTGGAATTCTCCTGGAGGAGAGGCCTCAAAGACCAGATTTAGATGCAGAATGTCACATCCTGCCAATTATTAGTTTCTGATCTTTTGATTCTTCATTCTTCAGATTGTTCGTTTAACAATTGTATTTTTTTTAAGTATGCCTTTATTGTTCTTACTTAAACGTTTAGATTTTTAAGTATTTGCCTAAAGCCATTGCAATCACTTAGGTTATTATTGTAATTTCTTTATTATAGGCAGACTAATAAAAAACAATGACTTATTATTAAAAATACACAACTGAATAACTTTAAAAGGGGCACACCCTATGCGTAGGCCTTGAATTCCTAGTTATCTTTTAGGTTTTGAATGTCTGATAGTAAAAATAATACTGTTGATTCTTAGCAACAAATATTTCATGGAGCATACATAAGTTCTCTATCAGGAGAACTTTAATTTTAGCATTTCTTGGCTTTTGTATGTTTACATTGTTAGTTGTAGCTGAAGTTCACAGAACACAGTATATTTAGCAGGAATTTTCATAGCTCGGCAATTTTCATCAACCATAGTTTTTTGTAGAGTTTGCCCAGAATGGTTAGTCAGCAGAAAGCATTGAATTGGAGCTGATTCATTTCTGAGTTAGTGACAAATTCACTTTCCAAGCATGGTATCTCCATTTTTACAAGAAATTGGAAAGTGTATTATTTAGACCAAGGGTTTGCAAAGTTTTTATGTAACGGGCTAGGTAGTAAATACAGCAAATTCTCACTTACCATCAATAGTTTCTTGGAAACTGCAACTTTAAGCAAAACAATGTCTTTGCTTAAATATAGAAACCAATCTTATCATAGCCTATACAAACAATAGTTAAATTCCTAAGGCATATTTCTTATCACAAACCATCAAACCTCTATGTAAAGACCAAGCACTTCTAATATTAAGCATCCGAATAAGTGTGAGCTATACATACATATCATTTAAGAAAGAGTAATAAAAACTAAAATAAGATAATTACTTACCAGTTATTCCAGTTCAGGGTCATTGGTGGCTGGAGCTTCTCCTGGCAGCACAGGGCACAAGGCAGGCACCAGTCCTAGACAGGATGCCACCCCATATTAGGACCACTCACACACACCCACACTCACTCAGACTGGGACCATGCAGACATACCTAACATGCACGTGTTTAGGATGTAGGAGAAAACCCATGCAGACATGGGGAGAACTGGCAAACTCCACACAGACAGTGGCCCTGGCTGGGAATTTTTTTTCCCCCTCCCTCATCGACGTTATTCCAGGACCTTGCTGTACGTTAGGCTTTACAGACAAGACAGTGTCACAACTACTGAACTCTGCTGTTGTAGCCCTGGACAGAATGCAAGTATGTGAGTATGACAGTTCCAGTAAAACTTTATCTGCAAGAAGAGGTGGTGGACTGAAGGGAGGTTAGTTTGTTGACCCCTGATTAAGACTATACAAATACATAAACTCACAATATACATTAGCATTTATCCTTGTCTCTTATTTTTCTCTACAGGCAGAAGACTTATCTTTGAAAATATGTATTTGGGAGATAGTCACATACTATCGAATACCTTGTGCTGGTGCTGCCATCGAAAAATCTGGTTACATTCTGGGGAGGCCTGCTACCACTGCAGGACGGAACCACCTCGGCCGTGAGATGAGTGTCCAGCCTGAGTGGGCACACCATGAATAGATACACAACCATCAGGCAGCTTGGGGATGGGACCTATGGTTCCGTCCTGCTGGGAAGAAGCATTGAGTCCGGGGAATTGATTGCTATTAAAAAGTAAGTTTATCCTTCACTTCCACAAGTTCCTCCTCACCTACATGAAATCAAGATAGTTTTAACTCTACCCTTGCCATTCCCATCTTTGAAACAGTTCTAAAGGAAAGTGGGTGGTATGTGTGGAGAAGAACCTTAGATAATGATTTCTGTGGGTTAGGTGGGAATGGACTCTGCAGCCCTCAAGTTAGAGGCCTTACAAACATTTTCACTTTAGACTTACTACTTTGCTCATACTATCAATACTTTTTCAAAGTGATTTCTTATGTTGTGAGGTGGTAATGAGCAGGCTAATAAGTATCATTTTATAGGAGAGGAAACTGAAACTGAAAAATTAAGTGATTTAATTTGAGTCCTTTGCATGTGTGGTGATCTGGTGACAGCTACCTTGTTCCCCCCACACCATCTCAGGTGCACTGAGAGACTCTCACCAAGGTGTATTCTATCCAGCTCCTTCAAAGTTCCCCCCCAGAAGGCCTGAGCACAGCTGCCCACTCTGGGATCTGCTTTGACACATATGCTTCATTGGGTTCACCAAGTCTCCCTTCCCAGTTCCCCACTCCTTGCACTGGCTTCCTGGAGTCACCTCCCAGATAACTGCCTGCACCCAAGTCTTTGCCTCAGGCTCTGCTTTTGGGGGAATCCAAACTAGACTGGTTTCAATGCCCTCCTGTCAGTTTTAGGATCAGGCCAAACCCCCTGCTTTGTTTTCAGAGACAGGGACTCCCTCTGTTGCCCAGACTGGAGTGCAGTAGTACAATCATAGCTCAGTCTCCTGGACTGAAGTAATCCTCCTTCCTCTGTAGTAGCTAAGACTACAAGTGTGAACCACTACAAGTGTGAGCCACAGTGAGACACTGTGCCTGGCCAAGCCCCAAATTTTTAATGTGACCTACAAATTGCTGCATTACTTGACCCTTGCCTGTTTTCAGCCTTGTCTCCATCACAGTCCCCTTGTCTGCTTTGCTCCAGTCACTCTGGCCTTTCAGCTTCTTGACCTTATCCAATACTTTCTGGCTAGAACCTTTGCCTGACATTTCCACGTGTCCCACCTGGCTAAGTCCTACTCCCCCTTCAGGTCTCAGTTGAAATATGACTTCATTAAAGGAGGTTTCCCTGATACCCAGACTAGACTAGGCCCTTCTGAGTTCATTCTCATAGTACTTTTTTCTTTCTTTCATGGCACTTAGATAGAAAATTATTGTCTACCTTCCTGCTATGATGGCAGTTCCATGAGGGATGTCTTTCTCATCATTGCATCTCCAGTGCCTGGCAAAGTACCCACGGTAGCATGTGGGAGGGACTAAATAATTGGGACATAATAAAGGAATTGATCACTCAACCAGGAAAGTGTGACAAGGACAGAGTGTCAGAGTGAGCTGGAGGGATGGAAGTGTGCTATTAGCCTGCAGTAAGACCTTTCCCTGCTTCCTGGTTTCCTCACCAGTGCCATGTGTGTCTCAGGGCCACTGTGAGGCTCAAATGGGACATGGGACAGTGTAGTTCAAGCACAGAAAAGTAGAACCTTGGCACGTGGATTTCTATTTAACTACTAGAGCTTTATTTCTTCCCCCGCAGGCTCTAGACCATGGGTTGGCAAACTTTCTCTGTACAAGGCCAGGCAGTAAATATTTTAGGCCTTGTAGGCCATATGGTCTCTGTCGCGACGACTCAATTCTGCTGTTGTAGTTTGAAGCAGCCACAGGCAATTTATAAATGAATGAGTGCAGTTGTGTTCAATAAAGTTTCATTTATAGAAACTGAAATTTGGATTTCATATGATTTTCACATGTCGTGAGATATTATTCTTCTTTTGATGTTTTGTCCCCAACCACTAAAAAACATAAATGCCATACTTAGCTCATGGGCTGTCCTGTGGGGGTGGATTTGGCCCATGGGCCATAGTTTGCCAACTCCTACACTGGGAAGTCTAGAGCTCTGCTGTCTAGTGTGATAGCAGGTAACCATATGTGGCATTCAATGTAATTACAATTAAAATTCAGTTCCTATGTTGCACTAGCTGCATGCCAAGTGCTCAGTAGCCACACGTGTCTAGCGCCTACTATACTGGACCTCACAGGACATTTCCACTAATGTGGAAATTTCTGTTGACAGTTCTGGGCTAGATAGAATGAGCCTGAGGGTGTCTCTCCAGCAAAGGACTAGCTAGTTAGTGGTAGAACGAAGCAGCAGTCCAGGCCTCTATACCCCACCACTGCTGTTGAGAAAGTCTGTGACAGGATTGGTTGCTCTGTCAGGCTTGAAAATAAATGCTGTTTTTGGATAGTATAGTATTTGAGAGAAATCAAAACCAACTTTAAGCACTGTTAATTAGGTTCAAAATGAAGCCATTAAAAAAAAAAAGTTTAACCTATTACTGGGAATGTGTGCTATTTGTTTCTTTCTTCTCTTCTAGAATGAAAAAAAAGTTTTATTCCTGGGAGGAGTGCATGAACCTTCGGGAGGTTAAGGTATTTATTAACATACCAGGGAATAATTTATGTATGGCTGATGAAAACAGCTTTGTATATTCTTAGGTTTATGGGTGATATGGTTATTCCATTTTAATTTTTCTGCTAATGCCAGAAAGGGGGCAAATGATAACATTCTGCAACTAGTAGCTGAACCAGAAGATCACTATGTTGCTGTATCAGTGAGTATACTGTTATTGAAAGTTTTCATCATTAATGGATATCTTACATCAATATAGTTTAACATAAACAAGTTGAATGTGTTCATTTAGTGAACTGTTGCCTAATTATTAACATAAAGGAAACTGTCAACTGAGTATTTTTCCTAGACATACTAGCAGTGCTTAACTCAGTGTCTTGCTCTAATAATTTGCGCTCTCTTGTCTGTGAGGGATTTCGCTGATCAAGGTGCTGCTGTTTCAGGCATTGTGGAGCACATCTTCACTTTTATTCAGCCTTCTCACTGGATTCACTATTTCCTCTTTCCCCCTTCCCCTTCTTCTTTTGAGTCTGTTTCAACTTTCCTCCTGTCTCTGTCAGAGTAGATTGACTACTTTGAGTTTTACATGCATAATTCTCTTCTTGTGCACAGGAGTGGTGTTTCATCTTATCTTAGTCCTCTCATTTAGTCCTATTTGAGATGTCTAAGGAGTTATTGAAAGCCAGCATTCCAATAGAGACTTGCACATGGAAGCGGGTTACAAGTCTAGACCAGAGATTAGCAGATTTTCTCTATCAAGGGCCAGATAGTAAGTCTTTTATAGTCAGGACCAGATGGTAAAATTGAGGATATTATATAGGTAGATACATAACAAGAGCAAAAATGAATTTCCATGAAGTTTTTATTTATGATATATAAAATGTAATAATAATAATAATAATAATAGAGTATTACAAGTCTTCCAATGACAAGAATGGCGTTCTTTTTTTGAGGGGGGAATAACTTTTAACTTAATTGGGGTTCAAAGTTAGTTTTCCTGGTCATTGCCTTGCCAAGCTATGGTGTGGCCAGGTGCTTTTTTGAGCTATGGCCAGGCTGTGCTTTCTTAAGCTTTGGCCCCATTCCCTACCTTGGGGAGGGGAATCTTCTCTCTCTCTTTCTCTCTCTCTCTAATTTACTTTCTAAATAAACTATATTCTCTAATCTAAAAAACAAACAAAGTTGGTGTTTCTTATCATCAAACTGGTTGCAAATGTTCCTCTGTAAAACTATTCTTAGCTAATGGACCAAACACAAACAAGTGATGGGTTGGATTTCACTCAAGGGACATAGTTGACCAACCTATGGTCTAGAGGATAAAAGTTCTAGGAGATCCAAACACATCAGAGATAGATAATAAAGAAGGATCCAAGTGCATTTTCTCTGTGACATGAAGTTCTGTGACATATACTTAGTTTGGATGTTAAACCTTCCTTTTCTGTGCAGTTTATGCATTACTTCTGATGGAAAGGAGATTACTGCTACGATTTAGGAAAACCATAGGCACATAGCATCTTAAGAAGCAAGTGGCTGCATTGGCAAAATACTGGAAGAAACTGCTCCCCTAGCCTGACCACGAGACCCTTTCCATTCACTTTACCTGCCTGCACAGGTGCCATATCCACTGCCAATTAGGATCCTCCCTACTTCGACCCTTGCTGACCCTCACACAAACCTACCAGCACTGGTCACAGCCAGCCACTGAATACAGAGGGGAAGAAAGGAGGAAGGAAGTAGAAGGGAGGCACCTTGCCAAGGTTCTTCATCCCTTCCTCCTTGCTAAGGTCCTTTTTTCTGACTCAGGAGGGGAAGAGAAAGGAAGGTCACTGAAGGATTCTTGTCACCATCATTTCCATCTCCTGCCAGCTGCTTCATCCCAGCAGCAAAAGGAACTGCAGGGGAATCCCGCATGGTGGTACTCTTTTCTCCTCATTACAACCTGCCCATACCTCCCCATGTCTACCTCTGGAGAGCTTGCGGACTGCAGGAAGACTCTACACCTGATGGCCAGCAGCAGGGAGAGGAATTCTTGCTCCTGTGATGTTGTGGGTGCAATGGGACCCCTGTGACATTTTTCTTAGAAGCACATCTTACATGGTGCTGTGGTGTTGTAGACATCTTAGGCTGCCTGTATCCCATCTACTCTGTTCCTCTGAGTTATTCTTTTTTTTTTTTCTTTTCTAACCATCTTAACTTCAGATATCTTTAGATCTTGCTCCAACGAAGTCCACCTCCTTTCCATATCTTTAAACCCTTCCTTTCCACCAGCTCCTACCCTCTAGTCTATAAATGTGCCCACCATTCTCTTTAACTCCAAATTTCTCAGCCCTCTCTCTTCTTGAGCATCCACCTCTTTCTTTTCCTTACCTTACCTTTCAGACTTTTTTTTCCAGTGCCACTTCCCCTTGTACCATTCACTTTTCAACCTAATTGAATCAGGCATCACTCTCTGCTTCTCTGCAGAAGGCACCCCGATTTGCCAAAAGACATCAATGGGTATATACCTGGCACCCAGTTTGCCCCTGCTCATTTCTACAGCCACATCTTCCAGATAAGCCTCCTTCAGAGCTAAACTGGGATGATTCTCATTCTTCATCCCTCAGACACAGAGCCACAGCTTCCCCATGATGTGCTTCCTTCCTGATGTGCCCTTTCCCTCCCAGTGAGCTTGTCCAGGTGGTCTTATTCCTTCAAGTCACATCTTGGCGATGCTCTCACTTACCCCTTAAGGTGTGCTGATTACTCCTTCTTGAGATACCGCTGATGGTGCTTGTGTCCACCATTCTTTTGACCCTTAATAGGGCCTTCCTTATTCTGTCCCATATATTTGTATCCATGTCCTGTCTTCCCAATGAGGTTGTTTGCCTAATAGGAGAAGGCACTGTGTCTTACATACCAGGCTATCCTTGGGGCCTCAAACATTGTACTTTTAACAGCTCAGAAACTGTTGATAAGTCCCTGAGCAGGGAAAAATGGAGCCTTTTATCCATGGAGATGGGCGGTCCCCGTTTGGACTGTTGACCAGGTTTAATTTGCTTCCTCTGCTTCTCCACTCTGATGCAAATGACCTGCCTCCGCCTCTCCTTTGGAAATCTTTCTTCAACCAAAATAAGATGTCTTCTTCCTGGAAATACACCTCTGTAAAGGGAGTCCCCTTCACAAAATTAATTTTTTCTGTACTAAACTAGTAGAGACTTCAACTTGTTCATGAGACTCAGAAACAAGAACTCTGAGCCACCCTCAGACTTGGGCTGGTAATACGCACCTGAAACACACTTGAGAATAAAAACTAAAGCGACTCCCTTCCTTGCCTAGAATACATTTCTAGAAAAGCTTTAAAAGGCCAGAAAAGCTTTAAAAGGTTCATACATGTAATCCCAACACTTTGGGAGACTGAGGCAGGAGGATTGCTTGAGCCCAGGAGTACAAGATCAGCCTAGGCAACATAGTTAGACCTTATCTTACAAAGAATAATTAGTCAGGCATGGTGGCATGTGCCTGTAGTTCCAGCTACTTGGGAGACTGAGGCGGAAGGACCACCTGAGCCCAGGCGGTCAAGACTGCAGTGAGTCATCATCATGCTATTACGCTCCAGCCTGGGTGACAGAATTAGACCCCAACTCGAATAAAAAAAAAAGAAAAAAGAAAACAAAGAAAGACAGAAAAAGGAAAAGCTTTAAAATGTACTTCATTTTCCTCTGACTGAATTTTCCCGGAGACTGCTCATCTACTAACTCTTAGCCATTGCTTGTGATGCATTTTAAGCAAACAAGCAGAAAAGACAGCTACAATCAGTGAGCGTCCAGAGGAAGCTTACAAGTTAAACAATGTTTGTATTTGTTACTGATGGAGAACCAGGAATCCGGCCCAACTAAAAGAAGTAACCCGGTTGGATCATTCTAGAAAGATCTGCCCAAAACAGTTGGCCAGAACAGCTGAGGATTCCCTGCCAGAGAAGTATCTTGGCAGGAACTTTTCTTCTGGGGAGGAGGCTCCAGAAAAGTCGTATGTTGTTCTCATTCACTGGCCATATTTCCTCTCTCTTCCCAGCTGCTGGAAGTCACTTGATCACATTACACATTCCCAAGCTCTGACCCCTCGGGGACCTTATTATTGAGTGTTCTTCTAGATGTCGGTATTCATTTTAACACTTTCATCTTAAAGCAGTCTGTTTGTTTTATAAAAGGGGTGTTGTTTTTAAAGAAGTTCAAAGATAAAAGGCTTTAACGATTTATTATTGCTGAACTCACTTCTCCATAAGGAGAGGGAAAGGGCTTTTTGAATTAAAGGGATCATCTCACTGGCCAAAGTGACAGTTGGAGGCTTCCTTAAAGGAAACAGCCTATCAGATTCTGATCATCCAGTGAGCAAACTAATAGTTGTGTGGTAGAGGCTGTTGTACAGGAATAGGGTTGATACTCACTAATACAGACATGTATTTGTTCACCATCAGCAAAACTAATGATACAAACAGAAAACAGTATACACATGGCTGTTCTTACATGTTCCAGGAGGAAGGAACTACATTTGTGTGAGAGTGGGTATCAGAAGGTCAGGCACCATTTTCTTTTTTTCTTTTTGATATAGACAGGGCCTCACTGTGTTACCCAGGTGGGTCTCAAACTCCTGGCATCAAGCAGTTCTCCCATCTTGGCCTCCAAAAGTGCTGGGATTACAGGCATGAGCCACCGTGCCCTACCTTATGCATCATTCTCTGAGCCACCATCTAGTTTCTTATCCACTGCCTAACTTTTGGCCTTCTTTGCTTGGGGAAACAGAGGGATTTCTCTCATCTCATTTCAGGGTCTTTCTGATAAGGAGTCTACTTTTTCTTCTCTGCAATGAAAACTCATGCTATAAGAAGGAGTGCTCTGTGTCTCATGGACACACATGAGTCAGATGAAAATTGAGAGAATCAGGCCCTCAGCCTCGGTCTTTTGGAACAATTTCCTATTCAAAGTGTCCGTGGACTGTTAGCTGATGATCTCAGCCCAGAGCAGCTACATTCTCCAGTGCCAGAAAAATCAAAGCCTCAGCTTTCTTTGTTGGTTCCCCTCTGGCCACTTCCACAACCTGAATTCCATCATCTGGAGGGGGTGGGCCTAAAATAGCCCTGGCACATTGCCTGGTGCTGGGGTCAGCCAGGAACACCACTTAGTGGTCAAATACGTACCTCCTAGACAGTTCATCAAGATGGTTTTTCTGGGTAAAGTTAGTATCAATTTCAGAGAAATACTGTTCAGTGAATTGTCGATTAAAATGTAACTTATGGCATTTCTGTGGTTCTAAAATTAGATGTTTCTTCCTAAGTATATATAGGATTACTTTTCTTTTTCAACGATAGATTTTCTCTGATTTTGTGTGTGTGTGTGTGTTTTTACTTGCCTTTTAGTCTTTAAAGAAGCTCAACCATGCCAATGTAGTGAAATTAAAAGAAGTTATCAGGGAAAATGATCATCTTTATTTTATCTTCGAATACATGAAGGAAAATCTTTACCAACTCATTAAAGAAAGGTACAGTTTGGTCATCACAATCTTAGAAATATATATGGCCAAGTGGGTATGTTTTCTTTTCTTTCTTACAGTCCCCCGGTTCTTTCTCTGATCATTTAACATTTGTGCTATTGGACTTTACTGTTGAAAGCTGCCAGTTAGATGAGGGGCTTGTCGCACTGTACTTTGGAGACCCTATGATGGCTTATTCATTCAAAGAAGCCCAGAGTTAAACAGACAGTTCAGTTCTCCATTCCTACTCGGACATATGGGCAGGGCAACTACATGTCAGGGAAGTACACAGCTTTATTTATTTTGAGCCTTCCATTTGAAAAGTTCTAGGTTTATTTCAGTTCCTCTCTTGCTACAGTTCTCAGGTGCTTGACATGCTGGGAAGAGAAGACTAATGAGAAACTTACCTGCTATGGTAATTTTGAATTTTAAAGGTGAACCATACAGAGCCTCTTGGGCACATTTTCTGGGTGACAAAATGAATGTCATTATAGCTTCTCTCTGAGTGATTTGAGTAAACAAATATCATATTTATTGTCAATGACAGCAATGTCACTGTGTGGTCTGCCCAACCAGGAGGAAAATGCTTGTCATTGCATTGCATACAGCCTTCATCTGGAAGACCTCAAATTTTCCTCACCAAAATTTTAAAACATTTTAGTTTACATCATGGAGAAAGGAGACTTTTAGTTTTTTATATGATATGTTGGAGGAAATTTGGAGGAGAATTTACTATAAAATGTGTAATCTTTTCATTTTTGTAACATAACTAAATATGCAATGGTGTTTGTAAGGTAGCTCCCCTGTATGGACAAATAGTCACTTTTCTTTTTTTTTTTTATTCAAAGGATCTGGCCAAAAAATAGGATATGACTGAATGTTTTCTTAATTTCTTACTATATAACCAAAGAACATGAAAATGGGATTTATTTTCATATGCAAACCCAGATTTATGACTTTGTTTTCCTGTGTCCCATACAGAAACAAGTTATTTCCTGAGTCTGCCACAAGGAATATCATGTTTCAGATATTACAAGGACTTGCATTTATTCACAAGCATGGTAGGTGGTTTGGAGCATTGTGCTTTTAAATAGCAGTGAAATGTTATCATCAGGTAGAAGATGTAGGAAGCATTGATGCCTTTTGTAACTGACTTCCAGAGAAGGAAGAAGAGCTGAGAGGCTGGTGACAGATTTTGAAATGTTAACTTTTGTATCTTAATTTCTGAATTTCCCTCATTTTTTTATCACATCTGTATGTATGTCTTTATTCTTTAGGTTTTAACATTAAGCTTATTAGTTATAGATATACAAATTATTCCTGATCACTAACTGCTGTATCAAGTGAGAAACCTAGGATTAGAATTCAGAGAGGTTTCATGTGTTATGTTGACTCATTAACTACCACTGCTTCACTATGGCTTCTCATTTTTCTAATGTATCTTTCAACTTGTTTCAAAATAAGTTAAAAATCATCGAATAAGATTTGTAGAAACAGAAACATAATAAATTAAAAATGAGCAAACTAAAAAAGAGGCAAAGGCAAAACCAGGTATGGATGCAACCAGGGGTGGGGTTAGTCCTCAACATGCATGCCAGCAGATCTATTCAGTAGGAGAAGCAAACTATAGGTTTGATTCTGAGTTTTCTGTCAGACCATGTGAAATGGGAAAAGCAATCCATTCTAACATACAAAGTTTTCCTGAGGAAAAACAGACCAGTTGTCCCCAAGAAGCAGAACTGTTCTTGATCTAGAGACCAGAGAGATGCTTTTCTCATGGACCCTTTGGAGGGACAGTATGTAACATGACTTCATTGTTAACACAGTGATAGGTTATATAGGACAGTTTCATGTCATATCCCTCAATGGAAGCCAATTACTTCACCTGATCACAGAGACAGTTCTCCTAGGGCCCAGTATGCCTTGCTCTACAGATAGTCTGGTTAGTCTGGGGAGACATTTAGAGTATCCAGAGAGACACTGGCCATATGCCATTCAGGAAATCCTGTGTCACTGTTGTTCTTCTTAGCTGAGTTTTTGAAAGTATTAAGCAGCAATGAGTGTGAGGTTATATTCTCCAGCATCTACATGGACCATTGCTGGTTTTTGTCACTAACTAGACACAGACCCAGCTGGGGTTGCATCAGTACCTGCTTATGAACACAGAGCTGCCAGATGGATGTATCCACGGGTAGAGCCAGAAGTCCCCTCAGGCGGTCATTTGAAGTCATTTTAGAAGACAGACAGATGGGCAAAGCTGGTTTTGCACAGGCAGAAATCTGTCTACTCAGTCTAAGGGTGTTGTTGGCATTGTAAATATTTCACCAACGGATGAGTTTTACTACTCAATAAGGAGACTGAGTGAAAGCCCTTTGACAATACAGTTCAGATTTTTTTTAGAGAGGGGCAGGGTCTCACATTGCCTAGGCTGACCTCAAACTGCTAGACTCCAGCAATCCTTCCTCCTCAACTTTCTGAATCGCTAGTCAGTTTAGATTTGATGTAACTTGGCAGTGAGTAGAAATGACCTTGTGCTGCAGAAAGTGGCATCGGACATCTGGGCTTGTTACCAGGCTGTCTTTCCCTCCCTGAGTAACCCCTCACAGCTGGAGACTAAATGAAACATAGACAAACATAGACTGTCTGTGGAAGTCCTTGTCAGCCTCAGGCACATGCTGAGTAATCAGCAAATAATATGCAAGATGGAGTCAAATTGCAAACCAATTCTAGGAAAAAGTTTCCTGTACAAGTTATCCCTGATTCCACTGACATTTATAGAACTAGCACTTTAGCCTTTATTCATAATAATTCACAAGGGATGGTATGAATGTGCAAAACACTAAAAACTTCTGGCATGATGTTTTAGGGACAAATAAGAGAAAGATCACTTACTAGATTAAGAGCTCAAGAAAGAGACATAACAAGAAATAAAGGGATTCTCAAAAGAGATAGGTCAACCAACCCGTTTTAAGATAGAGGCCAATTAGAATGTCTCAATTTTTCAGGCTATTTGCTCAGTACTAGCAACTGAGTGGTAGACCTAAAAGAAAGTTAGCATTCTTTGGCTTTCTCTCTCTCTCTCTCTCTCTTTTATTGTTGTTGCTTTTCATGAGACTCAGATATTTGTTACCAGAAATAACTTGAAGCTTTTATCCAGATCGCTACTTAATCAAATGTGTCTATAGGTGTGTATATATTATATGTGTGTGTATATTATATACATGTAATATGTACATACATGTAACAGACCACACATATGCACCCAAGACACGTGCATACACTTGCACACATCTACATGTGTGTGTATATTATATACATGTAATATGTACGTACATACAGACCACACATATGCATACAGACCACACATATGCACCCAAGACATGCATACACTTGCACACATCTACATGCACACAATACCTGCAAATATGCCTACACATGCACTCATCTACCCCCCTACACACACACACGTGCACATGAACACACACATATCTGCAAATGGTAATTTAGCATTCATATACTCCTGTGTCAGAACAGCCCTTTGGAACTCTGCACTATTAGTTTCCTTTGCATGCCACAAACACTTGTATTGTGTGCAGAAACAGTGCAAGGGAAGGCTCAACCTATGGACAAGAGGAGACCACAGCACCATTGCCTCCACCAGAGATTCTTACTGACATTGCTAAGCAATTAAGTGCCCAGTGCTAGCTTGAACTTAATAACATTTTATTTGCTACTTTATTTCCTTGCCAACTTAAAGAATAGATGGTATCTGGTCCTTTAAAAAAAGAAGAAACTTGAGTTCAGAGAGGTTTCAAAACCTGCTGAGAAGCCCCATTGCAAAAAGTGGCAGAGTGGAGATTAGTTTAGATAACTTGTGCCCATCTCCCATGCTTCACTAGAAAAACCTGTCTATGCTCAAAGAGAACAGGAGAATGAGAGGTGAATAATGGTAATTGTAGGTGGGATTGAAACTGAGTTTACCACTCTGATTCCATTTTCATTTTTAAATGATTTCTAGAAACATTTAAAATAGTTTTTGTAAGGTATTAACTTACCTTTGATTCCTCCATTGTATTCCTTCCCTCAAAAAAAAAAAAAAAAAAAAAAAAATCAAAAGCACTTCACAGATGAGCCTCATGAGTTTCAGGCTCTTCCCTGAGCCCGCTCTTGCTGTGACAAGGCGCTTCTTGCCCTGGGGAAGTGGATCCTCTGAGTGGGGGAGGAGTGCTGCAGGTAGTTGCTATGGCCATCCTCCATGTCACTGAGCATTTTCCTCCCACAGGGAGTGAAAACGCAGCTCTACTTGGTGCTGACTGAGCCAAGCCAAGGCATATGTACTTTGCAGGAATTAAGTAAGTCATGTTGACGGCCTGTTTCATCCTTGACCCGCCCTTACAGATAGATATCCAGGTCACATGTATCCATGCAGGTAACAGAAACACATTAGGTGGCCTGGAGGACAAGATTTTGCCCCAGAAGGTGGTTTCTGCTTCTGTATTTCACCCTTTCTTGCTGAGCATGACCTTGAGGCAGTCCTCTGCATTTCTGTGCATTGCTGTCCTTGTAGCTTCTTGATAAAAAAACACTGTAGGTTTAAAGTCAGTAATATCTGTGAAATTACGATTTCCACAGCAGGAAAGTATGCTGCATCAACTTGTAGTGTTTAAATATTCGCTGGTTATTCGTGAATCCATATCAGATTCACCCATAGCAGAACGTGGTGGAGGGGAGGAAGCTTTCTTTGTGGCTTGATGTTTTCCTTGCCCAAGGCTTATTCATGAAAAAGTAAGCACACAAATTTTCTGCCAGGATGAAAGAGAAAAATCTCTCTGTTATTGCACTGGTTTGCCATACCCTGAAATTAATTGAAGGTCTTTTCCTGTCTTCTGGAAGTCGCACCATCCTGAACAGGACGGTTCTTATCATACCAGCACTTTGTTGTTGCATGATCTCTGAATGGCCCAGCTGTGAGGGTTCCCATTGTGTATCAGAAGCCTGAGGAAGAAGGGTGTTCATTGTTACAAATCATACTGCACATATCAGCAGAACACACACTCCATTAGGAGCCGGATCAGCACTCTGGTGCCACCTCCTCACAGGTGGGGCACACCACTCCTCATGAGCCCTCATTCTAACCAGAAAAACATGGGGCCAGGCATCGCTGCCCACTTTTCTAGCCTGGTAGAGGGGTAAAGTGAGAGAATTTTCTAGTAACAGTGCTAATAATTATCAGCTCTTGCAAAGTGCCAATGTGCCAAGCACTGCTCTAACAGCTTTATAATACATTTAATCCTGCAAAACAACCCCATGAGGCAGTTGCTGTCATTCCCCTGTTTTAAGATGAGGAAACTGAAGCACAGAAAGGTTAAGTGACTTTCCAGCCAGTAACAGAATTGGGATTTGAAATCAGACAGTTTGCCTGGTCTGCACATTTAACCACTTTGCTGCATTGCATCTCAGATGGAAATAGTCACGTTTTGTTAAAACAGAGATGAAAAGTGGGCCAGGAGTGGGGACTCATGCCTGTAATCCCAGTACTTTGAGAGACTGAGGCAGGAGGATCCTTGAAACCAGGAGTTCAAGACCACCCTGAGCAACATAGCAAGATCCCCCCTTCCTACAAAAATTAAATTAGTCGAGTATGGTGGTGTGCACCTGTAGTCCTAGCTACTTGGGAGGTTGAGGCAGGAAGACCACTGGAGCCCAGGAGTTCAAGGCTTCAGTGAGCTATAATCACACCATGTACTATAGCCTGGGCCTCAGAGTGAGACCTTGTCTCTAAAGAAAAAAAAATTTTTAAGTAACTGTACATGACATAAGGAATAGAACTTTTAATTACCTAGGACTAGAACTCATGGGCATATCGGTAATAATAGCTAATTGTTATATTATTCAATAATTAGCAGAGGGCTAGATAACCTACAGACATATTTATGAATTTGTTATAAAAAGTTCTGCTTGAAGACTGTATAATGGAAATGGCATATGTCAGCTGACAGATGCACTTCTCCTCAGTCACTTTAAAAGTTTGCAATTAATTTTTTCCCTAGCCATTTATCTC